ATTCTTTTAACCGAGCGAGTGGGACAGAAAAAAGGCCTTACGATCTGTCCATATGTCTGTGATCGTAAAGACTGTTTCGTCACAGAGCGAGCGAGCCAACCAAGTACGGACAAGCCCGCTAGGTCTTGCCATGAAAATACTTGAAGGACCTTTGAGAAAATGGCGGTGAAAAAAAGTGGCCCCATACATTTCCAATGGGCCCCTCACAGTTTGTGCCGCCAAGGCCATCTCTATGCCATGCATGCATAATCATGAATTTATTATTGAAATGTCCATTGGCGGGCAGTTAGGTGCGCAGTGACAGCAGGTGTGTTTGTATTTATCCCACCATGTTCACAAGTTTCCAAGCGCCTTTGGCGGTCGAATTATGCCGCACAGCAAGTTTTGAGCGATTTACCTTTTGGAATTTCAAAAGGCTGGCAGCGTTTCTATGTTTGAGTTCATGGTCCGGTCGAACTCTTATTGTTACCTTGCATGGCGTTGGGGTTAATCAGCAACCCTCGACACAGCAAAACACCCACTTTTTTTGGATATCAACTCTGTGGAGAGCGATAAGCTACAATTTGTGTGATTTCCAGGTCGAATATACTTCCCTGGATATGCCGCTGAGCTGTTTAATCTAGGCTACCCCAACATGTTGTGTAGGCGTTTCTTCTATGAGCCATATCAGGAACGGATATCTGGTGCCTTGTGGAGACCCAGGACAATAGGTTACAAGGGTCTCCACAGGGAAATTCTAAAGGTGTATATAGGGGTCATTCCATGTCAGACCAACGCACTTTTTTTACCTCATGTCTTCCGATTTTGATAAAAATTGCTGTGCTTGTAGGTCCTGATGAGCAATGCGCACACCAACTTTTAGCCCGATCCGACCTACCATGTGGTCAGGGCAGAAACCACAAAAACCGGACATTTTTAGAGTAAAATACCACCTTTTTGCTAGAAATATGTCAAAACCATTTCAATTTTCAAATTTTAGTCTTAAGGTTCGTCGCATCTTCGCATTTGCAATCTGTCATGCATAATGATGCGGCTTATTGTGTGGTTGCGTAACTAATAATAACCACTCCTGAAGTGGCAATAATGTCGGTTAGTCCTGGGCTCCACCCAGTGTAACGGATACCTACTTTATCTCAGATAAGAGCGCAGAGGCGCTAATTACTCCCAGAAATGCATTAGATTGGGCTCGGTTCTGAAATGGGAAGCCAAAATTGTGCACTTTAGGCATAATGGGGCATTAGGCCCAAAAAAGAAAGTATCCGGTTTCTGGTATGGAGCTTGCCCAAAAAGTGGTGCGGCGACGCGGCTTTTTTTTTTTACCTGTTTTTTTTTTGCTTCAAATGTCGACTGATGACTGCAAATGGTGCCCCACTAAACTTAGTGCAAATATATGGGGGTCCAGAGAGGCTACATAAAGCTTATTCTTGATCATAACCCCATCTAAAAATACGTTAAAATTGTGCAGCAGCAGGACAAGGGCGGATCCAGAACACAATTTTTGGGGAAGGGGCAAAAAAAAATTGGTCCCCCAAAAAAGTGGGTCGAAAAAATTACGGCGTGGGGTTCGGGGCCCGCTTAAGGGCCCCGAAATTTTTTTGGATTCTTGATGCTCTGTGGTGCGACCTGAGGCAATTTCTGACCACTTTAACCAATGTTTTTTTTTAGGAAAAGATGGTGGTGTGCTCATTGCCTGCCTTTATTGCGATGTCACATAAAAAAAAAAAAATTGTTTTCGTTTTTTTTTTTTTTTTTCCTGGATCCGCCCTTGCAGCAGGATCCCAGTCAAACCAGTGAGTTTTGCGGTTTTGAGACATCATCTTTCATTGAAAAAAAAAAAAACTTTTTCATTTTGCCGACGCGCATGGCTACGGCGACGCGCGCGCATACCAGAAACCGGAGACTTTTTGTTGGCCTTATCAGCAGCCTGGCCTGGAGTGCACCCCTGATCATAATGTGTACATTACTATGGTGGCCCTGAAGGGACAACGCATATCGCAAACGTGTGCGCATACGTATGCGATGTCGCGAAATTTATCGCGAATGTGTGCGCACACGTATGCGATGTCGCAAAATTTATCGCGAATATGTGCGCACACGTATGCGATGTCGCGAAATTCATCGCGAATATATGCGCACACGTATGCGATGTCGTGAAATTAATCGCGAATATGTGCGCACACGTATGCGATGTCGCGAAATTCATCGCGAATATATGCGCACACGTATGCGATGTCGTGAAATTAATCGCGAATATGTGCGCACACGTATGCGATGTCGTGAAACAATTCGCGAATATGTGTGCACACGTATGCGAATTTGTTTGCAATGTCGTGAATTTTATTGCATACCTTGTCGCATACCTTTCAGTAAAATTCCTAATGAACTGGGGAGTTGTAGCAGCTAGTCTGGAATCTAGACGTACTGTTAGATATAAATAGGGTCTGACTAATAAACCTTCGCGCGCACGCTGTTCCTCGTGCAATCGTTACTACTAGAACTGTCGAACGCAAACTTGCTACTTGCGCAACTTTGAAAATTGCGCGCGCAAGTTTGAAACATGCGCGCGCAAATTTCAAAGTTGCGCAAGTAGCAAGATTTGTTAGTCAGACCCTATTTATATCTAACAGTACGTCTAGATTCCAGACTAGCTGCTACAACTCCCCAGTTCATTAGGAATTTTACTGAAAGGTATGCGACAAGGTATGCAATAAAATTCACGACATGGCAAACAAATTCGCATACGTGTGCGCACATATTCGCGAATTGTTTCACGACATCGCATACGTGTGCGCACACATCGCGATAAATTTCGCGACATCGCATACGTGTGCGCACATATTCGCGATAAATATTGCGACATCGCATACGTATTTCGCACACGTTTGCGATATGCGATGTCCCTTCAGGGCTACCATACATTACTGACAGCGATCTGTCAATTAACAGAATGGGGCACAAGGTTCAACGCGGCAGTGGTGATATAAGCGCGTAGAAAACGGACTAGGGCTTAGTTTGCTCAGGGTGCTGGAAAAGGTTGTCAGGATGGCGAAGACGAATGTGAGTTACAAGCGGTTGTTGCGATTGGTCGCCGTTTGCAGCTTGCTGGTGATTTCGCTGACTTATGCCGAGGACAAGCCAAGCGAAAAAGCAGCTAGCCCAAGTCGATATCGGCTCAGCGGTGCTCTGCTATTTGTCAACTGGGACTCAATTCAAATATCGATCGTAACCGCAATTGAAAAGCTGAAGCACATGTCCATCCGGGCGAGCTGTTTCGGAAGGCACATGGAATTTTCCAAGGATCTGAGTTCAAGGGGAAAATCAGCATTGAACTGCCGACCGGCGAAACAAAGGCCATTTTTGACAGCGGAGGTAACTTCGACTACATCGAGTTTGCAGCGGTGCGGTTTTTCTCCATTGAATACACCGGTCAATCGGCTAGGAAAGTGAAGATAACGTGCGACTTGACGGAAGACGATGTCACCTCAGAAGATGACGTTGTTTGCAGTGGCTCTGACATGTATCAAGTACGTCGACCTGCGGACAAGATGTCATCATTTGACAAAGAAAAGGGACTGGCAGACGACTTAGTGCTGAAGTTTGTCAAAACATTCGTCAAGAAACAGGGGTATCACAAGTTGCATGCTCCTTGGGGCGCGAAGGATATGGATGAAGTCATCGACTACATCTACGCGTTTGCCAAAAAGTTGCCGGACATTTCCATAGATGACGGTATATCCCTGGTAGAAGACGTATTGGGCGTGTTCCTGGTTGGCTTGACTCTTGAATAGATCAAAGACCCCAACGAACCAGGAGACTACAAGAGAGTGGACGATGCGTGGAGCATTTGGGAACCCGGCCTAGGAGGAAATGAACTATACGGTCAGTTGTATTTGTTACCACAGGCCAGCATCCTTAATGTATGCGACTTGGTGGCAGAGATTACGGGCGTCCAATGCCCTGACAAGCTGCAAGATCTGGAACTGCCCATTATTCAAGGCCCAGCATTTCCACTATTTGACTACAGCAGAGTTCATAATTCAATCAATGACTATTCAATCAGTAGTGATGAAAAACTTCCAATAAATACGTATATTAAAAACAAGAACGATCACAGCTACGTAGTTTTATCTAATCTATGGGAATTAGATGGTAATTTTGCACTTGCCCTGGATGACTGCATATCCAAGGGAAATGCACTTGGTTTTGATCTAATTGATTGGAAAACATCCACTCAGCGGGATTTGAGTAAATGTTGTTATAGTGGGAACCGTGCCATTTCCTTAGTCAAAGAAGGGGAAGTGACAAAAGATTCGGAGTCCAACCTGGTCGAGTACCAGCTGACAGGCGTCTTTAGCTTCCAATGCGATAGCGATGGGTTGCAAGGTTCTAATTATGAACCTTACGGGTACTTCTATATTAGTGCCGGGAGTAGAAACATAAATCAAAACTATAAAATATGGGAGGCCAGAGCTAATGCTATCTCGCTTACAAATGGTGGCATTTATCGCCAACCTTTTATGGTCAGATTTCAAGAAAGTGAACACTTTATGGATGAGGTTAATAATAAGATAACTTTGCACGGGCACGTGAAAGAGGACGATACAATTGGTGACGATGTAATTGGGAATTATGATGGGAAAACCTATGAAGCAAATACATTGAGTGAGTTAAAGAAATTGGAGTTTAGACAAGACTCAGAAGACATAGTTACAATAGAATTGAGGCTAATTCCCGTAACCGCTGTCGAAGAACCTGCAGTTTTGAAAGATTACGTACTTTCTGGTAATTTTGAGTTTTCATGTGATAACGATGGGGTACTGCAGAATTGCCGTACGGTTCATTCTCAATAGATATTGGTAACAGACCCGAAAATCAGGGCAAGGAAGTATGGCATTGGGTTCGCAACGAACATGAAGTCAAGTGCTGGGAAAGTGTTGAACAAAGCTTCTCATTCGATTTTAAGGAAGTGGAAGACTTCATGTCTTCAGGAAACACCAAGGGTAAGGTGATACTGCACGGGAAAGTTTTAGAACTTGACACAGGCAATTCTGATGTTATTGGGGACTATGACGGACAAACCTACGACGCCTATACCTTAGCAGAGAGGAAAACTGACAAATTCTCTCCAGACTATCAAGACAGGGTTATCATCAGTTTACAGATCACTGACAAAACAAGTGCGCCTGCTAAAACACAGTTACCAAAGCAAGGCCCTAAAGTGGTCAAAATGAACTCAGAGACAGAACGTCAGGCCGTGTACAGGATTATGCACGCTATTTTCCCATTAAACAGGGGATTGCGCAAGGATAGGAACGCAGACAAAACTCGTCAGGAATTGTAGGGAGGATTCGGTGTTTGGTGTATAATAAGGTACAGGTTTCGCATTGTTATTAATTTAGTTGTTGGAGTGATAATGTGGATGAAATTAAGCACGAGTGTAAACCTTTGTGGTAAAAATAAATTGAATTCATTGATAAATCCATACTAACTAAAAGTAAGGATTGATTTGGCGTCTTCTGATTGGTCGGTGAGTGAAGGTTGACTGCGCTGTCTGGGCATCAATCGTCAAATACGTTGCGAATGCAGACCTCAAAACTCAGTGAAATATCAAATAGAAAAGAAATATTTAAATCTTGGTTTGCGCATACAAGTCACCTGATTTTGGCAACAGTTTAGAAAAACGGATAGGTTTTAGTTTCCAACAATTATTAAGCTGTGACTAAGGGCAATTGTACGAGTTTAAAACATATACGGATTTTACGCCTCACCACTGCCGTATAATGATCAAAGAAGATGCAGTGTACACCATGATCTAAGGAATTTTTAGCTGTTTGTGATGTTGGAAGATTTGTGATTAAAAAAAATAAGATCTGTTTGTATAACCAGTTTGTTAGTGCTTGATAATTTTGAGAATAGTTTAGGTACGAAAGAGGTGAGTTCTTATCAAGTTGTGATTTGCTACTGCATAATATATTATATTAACTGTCTCATTTTAGTTTAGCTTCAGTTCACCGATTGCATATTTAGTTTACATATAGCATTCATTTTTACTCGTAGCCTACATGCTCAAAGAAGATGCAGTGTACACCATGATCTAAGGAATTTTTAGCTGTTTGTGATGTTGGAAGATTTGTGATTAAAAAAAAATAAGATCTGTTTGTATAACCAGTTTGTTAGTGCTTGATAATTTTGAGAATAGTTTAGGTACGAAAGAGGCGAGTTCTTATCAAGTTTTGATTTGCTACTGCATAATATATTATATTAACTGTCTCATTTTAGTTTAGCTTCAGTTCACCGATTGCATATTTAGTTTACATATAGCATTCATTTTTACTCGTAGCCTACATGCAATTTGTTGTGGTTGTAATTATTGCTGTCATTTAAACACAGTTATTATTTAAAGGGCATGGAATAATTTTTAACACCGAGGCAAAATTAATATAATTTTTCTGAAAAAGCTCCATACAGCAGTTTGTTTTAAGTAAAACTGTGGTATTAAAATCTAAAATTATCGCCAACCAAGAATCACTATACATGTATACAGTAAAATTTAAATCTTTAAAAGTCGGGTCCGCTGGAGACACCTTTTAAAAACTATAATGGACTTTTGGTTTTATCTTCTGAAAGATGCCAGCCAGAATAATACATTTCACTGTGAATTTAGTACTGATTGAATGACCAGTTTTGATAAAAGTTCCCTAATCCGATTAAAATCGGGCAGATTTTCCGGTAATTGCCACTTAATTATCCCATATTCAGGTGCCTTCCATTCCCATCACCATTACCAGCGTACAAACTGTACTCATTTTGCCGGACCCTCCCTCCCATTCGGTAGCGTACAAAATGAAAAGGGAACAATGACGGTTTCTCCCATTGGTTCCCACCGTCATTTTTAATTCCTTGTAAAAGGGTAACGTTGCTTGCCAACCCCTTCTCGGCATGTAGTTTGTACGCTCGTGATAATGACCGAAAATGGATGGCCCCTTAACAAGTTCAGCTGGTTCATAATTGCTTTTAAAGTAGAAGGTGTAACTGGTTTCATCGAATAATTATGGCGTGATGGTGTTTTTGTAAGGGACTTGATTTTTGTTTGGAGTGAAACTTTATTAAAAAGGAACATGCTTTCACAGTGTATGTTGCTCTTGAGTAGTACAAGAATCTTTTGTGAATCCTGATGGATGAATCCCCGTCGAACAATAGTGATACATTTCAGAACCTACGTAATAGCGCGTTTTGTTGTCTTTTAAAAAATGAGAGGAACAACCACTTGCCTTGTAGTTCGGGAAAGAGTGTTTGACGGCTGAACTTGTTTCTAACCTGGTGCTTTTGCACTGGCTTGCGAACCGTTGGCTCAAAAAGGACAATGCATGTTGTCAGGATGTTTGAACTAGTTTATGTATCGGGTCGTGAGAACAATTCGTAGTCTGGGGGTAGCAGGGGCTGCAAGTCATTCGATGTCCAAAGGAGAATTGATCAACGTGGGCAAATTGCAGTTCTCAGCGTGTTTCTAGCTTTGCAATAGGCACACAATAGCTTCATATCTTGTTTACTGCGTCTGTTTTGGTTGACTTCGTCCGAATCATAATAGCTAGCTGCCGAGCTACGAAGTATACTTTGTTATGGGCCTGCACAGGTCTTTTCTGTCTCTACTGTGTTGACCCCAGGAACTCTGGAACGAAGGGACTACATTTCCTGTCTCCCTTAGTGACTTTGGCCTTCCTGCTGGAGTCTCAAACAAAATAATGCATAAAGTAAATAAGTCATCTGGCTGTCACAAAACCTAATGAAGCATGTCTATTCGACAGTCAAGGCCGGGATTAAAACAAAAGTAATGGGGTGAAAGAACTGCTATATCTAATTGGTGACCAACCCAAATCTAAGACATTTTTTATTATTTCTTTAAAAAAGAAAATAAATGTGTTCTGAAGCAAGTATGATTGATTAATAGTTTGCTCTTTAGGCAATGGCAATTGTATACAAATGAATTGTAAGAGGAATTTCAACATGAAAGGAAAAGGCTTTGATATGAAAAGCATATGTTCTTCTTTTCAGGTCTTTTTGGGGTGCCTGGTCTAGTCTGGTCTAGTCTGGTCTGGTATGGTCGTAGTATAGGAACATTTTCCTGTTACGATTTTTAACTTTAAGGTGTATGCATTCTTTTAACCGAGCGAGTGGGACAGAAAAAAGGCCTTACGATCTGTCCATATGTCTGTGATCGTAAAGACTGTTTCGTCACAGAGCGAGTGAGCCAACCAAGTACGGACAAGCCCGCTAGGTTTTGCCTTAAAAATACTTGAAGGACCTTTGAGAAAATGGCGGTGAAAAAAAGTGGCCCCATACATTTCCAATGGGCCCCTCACAGTTTGTGCCGCCAAGGCCATCTCTATGCATGCATTATTATCATGAATTTATTATTGAAATGTCCATTGGCGGGCAGTTAGGTGCGCAGTGACGGCAGGTGTGTTTGTATTTATCCCACCATGTTCACAAGTTTCCCAGCGCCTTTGTCGGTCGAATTATGCCGCACAGCAAGTTTTGAGCGATTTACCTTTTGAAATTTCAAAAGGCTGGCAGCGTTTCTATGTTTGAGTTCATGGTCTGGTCGAGCTCTTATTGTTACCTTGCATGGCTTTGGGGTTAATCATGCAACCCTCGCCACAGCAAAACACCCACACAAAAGAATCATGTACACTGTCTGGGGGTCACTTTTTTGTATATCAACTCGGTGGAGAGCGATAAGCTACAATTTGTGTGATTTCCAGGTCGAATACTTCCCTGGATATGCTGAGCTGTTTAATCTACGCTACCCCAAAATTTTGTGTAGGCGTTTCTTCTATGAGCCATATCAGGAACGGATATCTGGTGCCTTGTGGAGACCCGGCACAATAGGTTAAAAAGGGTCTCCAGAGGGAAATTCTAAAGGTGTATAGGGTTCATTCCATGTCAGACCAACGCACTTTTTACCTCATGTCATATTAATTTGATAAAAATTGCTGTGCTTGTGGGTCCTGATGAGCAATGCGCACACCAACTTTTAGCCCGATCCGACCTACTATGTGGTCAGGGCAGAAACCATTAAAAAACCGGAAATTTGTAGAGTAAAATACCACCTTTTTGCTAGAAATATGTCAAAAACATATGTCAATTTTCATTTTTTTTTTTTGTCTAAGGTTCGTCGCATCTTTGCATTTGCAATCTGTAGGCCTGTTCATTGTTTTAGCTGTAGAGGGCGCACACTGAGCTGAAAAAGAAAGCGTGCGCCAACCTCGTGCCCCGTGGGTACAAATTTGCAGCGCCATGTTGTTTCCCATCTTGCCTTGCGCGATCGTAACCCCTGAATTGTGTAATTTAAATGTGCTGAAATACGGTACATCATAATTAGGGCTGCAGTTTATCGTTTTACGAACCGACGCCATCTTTAAAATGTTGAAAGTTGTGTTTTTAAAAAATCAATGCTTTCAAACATAAGGTTTGTTTTTAGCAAAGATTTGTTTTAAAGGTACGTAACCCCTTTCGTCGTTTTACAACCGCAGATACAGGTTTTTTTTTTAGCAAAAACGAGGCTGCCATAATCCATAACGTACAGGTATCGCGCAGCCTTTGTACGCGACGAGACGTGCAAAGCACGCGAGCGCATTACGCTCTGAATAGCCAGTCAACGTCACTTACGTCATCATCACGGCCAGGGGTTAGTGTAAGGAACGAAGGAACGCGCATGCACGCGCCCCTGGAGTCGAGGCTGGGCGCGCGCCCACATCATTGCACGCACGATCAACTTCCCTTGACCTTTAACAATTAGACTTGACTCAAGTCGGAATTGCTTAATTTAAGTCGGTATCTTAAAAAAAAGTAGCGAAAATCATTAGTTTACGCCTTTCCCAGATGCCCGACAAGGTACACTTCAGCTTCAAATGTCGGCTGATGACTGCAAATGGTGCCCGACTAAACTTAGTGCAAATATATGGGAGTCCAGAGAGGCCACATAAAGCTTATTCTCGACCATATCCCCATCTAAAAACACATTAAAATTGTGCAGCAGCAGGATTCCAGTCAAACCAGTGAGTTTGGCGGTTTTGAGACATCATCTTTCATTGAATTTTTTTTTTCATTTTGCCGACGCGCATGGCTACGGCGACGCGCGCGCATACCAGAAACCGGAGACTTTTTAGGGGGCCTTATCAAGGAATGTGAATCAACAAATCTCTGGGCCAAAAATACTTAAACGTAGAAAATTCCTGAAAGCTCACAAATGATGCTTTTGAATTGCTGATTGGAATTATAAAGCTGTGGTTACCTAGAAGTATGTGCTGTTGAGTTTTTTCCAAGTCTGTTTAATATATA